TTTAGATTTCTATTCTGAAAGGAGTGTTCGTATATTTTTAGACAAATTTCTAATAGATTGTGAGGCCTTGTATTTTGGAAGTTGCTGGATTTTTTCAAGGATTTGGAAAAGATTCTCCGTGTTCCACGAGGTTATTATCTGGACGGAAACAAGAATATTAACAAATGCTTAAAGAGTAAATTTTAAGGTAAAATGATTCTTACCTCCTTCTTTGAACGGTACTCGTTGATTCTTTTGATAGCAAAAATCACATCTTTCATTATCGACGCTAGGATTTCAGAATGAAAAAGTTTCCCACCGCATTTAGTTCCTCTAGAGATAAATTGGAGGGTGATTTCAAGAGAAACGCTGATTTTATCTATCATTATATTTATGACACTGTCCACAACAGCAGATCCCTTAAGAAACAAAATTCTGATATAAAGATTCGAGTGGTTTTATAAGAAAATGAACAAAACAAAAAAATAAAAACATACCCGTTTTTTCTTTGGCACAAAATAGTTAAAGATCAACCTTGAAATGTCATATGCGAGCCTCACTTGTTTTGGATTCTTGGCAGTTCCGGGATCAGTACATCCAAAGAATATATCGGATAAATACCACGGAACTTGCGGAAGAATACTGGGTAGCTCGGAGAAGGACGTAATCGTCAAATAATTGGATCTTGTCATCCATCCCTGGTATGAATTTTCATAAATTTTGACAGCCTTTTCAATAGACCGATTTGAATATTTTGTCGGCAACACTTTTCTTTCTTTTTCTTCATAACGCAGGATTAAAGATCTAAATAAGTATAATCCAGCTTTCCAACATGTTTTCGCAAAATCACCATCTTTTGCTTTGTGGGATAAATTGTGCACCTGTTGAATTAAGTCAAGCACATGGTCATCATCAAATTGAGTTGGTACTTCCTTGTTCGAAATTACTTTTTTAAGGAGAGCAGACGCGGTTCCTGAGATTTCGTTAGATCTTGGATTTTTGGATAACTCAAGTAAAGGAACAATAAGCTCGAGAATGAGGGGATTTTTGTGTTGTGAATAAGCAAAAATTCTTAACAGTCCAATGATCTTATACTTGAAATGTATCTTTTGATATTTAACATCTGGATATATATGCGTACAAAAGTTCTGTATTAATCCAAATGGTTATCAAAAAGATGGAATGAAATGTGATCGAACCTTTTTTCCTTAATTTTTCAAGTTTTTGTTGTTTAAAATATTCCACCAATTTAGAGTCAAAATCTTCCATCATCTTTTCTTGATCGCTGACGACATCACTTTCATCGTCTTCAACTTGCTCATCGGTATCCTTTTTACGACCTTTGACACCATTCTCATTCTCTTCTGAATCACCTTCACTCTCATTCTCCTCTGAATCACCTTCACTCTCATTCTCCTCTGAATCATCTTCACCATCATTCTCCATTCCGACATCATCTACATCTTCTTCATCTCTCTCAATATTCATCATATCGATCTCGTCCTCGTCGTCGTCGTCGTCGTCGTCGTCATCAACATCGGAGTCAATATCCATTAGGCTGATGCCTCCCTTACCGATTAGCTGTAAAGCGAAATATTAGATTGATGAAAAATAAATGAAAGCAATAATGCAATAAATCTTCTTTATATACAAACATCTAACATTGAATTCAGCGAGGATCCCGAAATTTTGTCACAAAAAATTCTAAACACATGTTCTACCGCGGCATGCAAAAAATAAGAAGGTACGGCAAGAAATCCAAGCAATATATCGACAATGACATCCACCGG